CAAACAATCTTAGAATGTTTAGGAGAATGAGGACTCTATTAAAGTTCAACTTTTAATTTACATGAATTATTCAAGTACTTAGGAAAGTGTTTGCTAAGCTCTTTAGGTTTGCTTTATCAGGCATTTAAAGTGATTAAAAAGATGATTGGATATATTTATTTATAAATACAACTTTAAATGTTTAAGATAATGTGATTAAGTAATAAACTAAATGGATTAATGGAAATTTAGTCTGTCCAGTTTGAGTTTATTGACCATTGTTTAAAGCAAACACTCAAAAAACTGTTTGTTCTTATTTTACAAACTACCTACTAGATTTATATATAGAATAATGGGACATTTAAGGTAAAATAAAGGTATAGGATTTTCAACTTTAATAAATCAATACTAATTAAAAATTAATATGCATTTAAAACTAATATCAAATTTAGTCTCATCAAAAATGCATAATCTCAATCTAATCATAGGGAGACATGAAATAAATGTAAAATAACAGGCATTCTACAAAAAAACTGGCCTATACTCTTCAAAAATGTCACCATCATGAAGGAAAAGAAATCTGTTCCAGATTAAAGACAACCAAGGAACTTGACAATATAATAAACTACCTCATCTGAGATTTTTCTTTCTCTAAAAATGACATTATTGTTTCATTTAGTGAAACATGAATGAGATCTGCAGATTAGATAATACTACAGTATCAATGTTAACTTCCCAATTTTGAAAATTGTATGGTATTTATGTAAGAGGATGCTTTTGGGTTTTGTTGTTGTTGTTTAAGAGACAAGGCCTCACTCTGTCACCCAGACTGGAGTGCAGTGGCTTGATCATAGCTCACTGCAGCCTCAAACACCTGGGCCCAAGTGATCCTCCTGCCTCAGCCTCCTGAGTAGCTGGGACTACAGGCATGCACCACCATGCCCAGATAATTTTTTAATTTTTTGTAGAGATGAAGTCTGGCTGTTTCCTAGACTATACCTTTGCTTTTAGGAAATACACAGTGAATTATTTAGGGGCAAAGAGACACTTTATCTGCACTTATCTCAATGGTTCAGGAAAAAAGGTATATAGAGAGAGAACAAGAATATATCCAAATGTCATCATTTGGAGTATCTGAGTGAAAGGTATACAGGAATCCTTTGTGATATTCTTGCAACTTTTTTGTTTGTCTAGTATTATATTAAAATAAAAGTTAAAAGAAGGAAAAACTAATATTTACAGTAATAGGTTTTATTTTAAAAGCCACCCTGGGACACCAAAAATCACCCATTGATGGAGAAACACAAAAAGATGATTAAAAGCTGGAAAAGTAGATCTAAGAGAACAGAATAGGATTGAATAAAATGGACAAAAGGGAAACTTCCCATTGTTAATAAAAGTCAGAAAATTAGAGAAAGTGTTGTTTAAATTATGTTAAGCTTTCCTCTACCTTGAACGCAAAATCAATCATATCCCTTCGCATGAGGCTCCGATGCCAAGGATGTGGGATGTTCGCAGCAAAGACATGCCCCAAGGTTTTACTCAGTAGGGTACCCGAGGTGCAGGATTATTACCCCAATACCTTCCCCAGAACTCCAATTCTGGAAAATCTTCCTCTTGACATAACACCAAATGCTTCTTGGTAGAAGGCAGGCCCCAATCCTGGTATCTACATATCAACTCCAGCCAGGCCAGGAAAAAAGGGTTTTGAATCACTCTTTGTAACAGGACAAAAGACCTTATTCAGTGGGAAAACTTGCAGGAACAATAATTCTGTTAGCATTCTCCTTGGTAATGTAACCCATCATTCCTAAGCATTCCCTATTGATGGTGTTCCTGATGCAGATATCTGACTTAAAATATGCCTGGCCCTTTCTGAAACCATAATCAGACACAACAACCAAAGAGCCTAGAAATATTAATGTCTGCACCCTGGGGTGTACCAGCCCCATCTATTAGGATGGCCGGAGCCACCTGTGCTCTGCAGCCACGCAGACTCCAGCTTGACTTTCATCAGACAGCACCATGTGACAACACCCCAGAGGTTCGTGGCTGCCTTACCACTCACCCCAAGGCAAAACTACCCATTTGGGGCATATAAGAGAGCACTCAGGACAGATCAAGAGAAAATAGGAGTCAACAGCAACAGATGAAAGCAGACAAAGAAATTTTCTAACAGGTTCAGTTATTAAAAATCAAAATGAACATCTAAGGGAAAATGTGGTACCCATTTCTCTAAATTCTCCAAAATTATGGAGAAAATTATTTACTCTGAATATTTCAGATATTCCCATGCCTGAAAACAGGAGATAGAATTATATAGAATTCTGCTATATAGAATTCGAGACTAAGGGTGTGTGTACATGTGTGTGTGTGTGTGTGTGTGTGATTAAAGCATAGAAATACATAACAATTACCTTATCCTTTCACTAATTCAACAAGTGTCACTAAGCACATGTTACATGCATAACGTGAGGCTGGGAAAGGAGAGACTTTCAAAAACATGTACAAAGGGAGTTTAAAATTCAAACACGGAAAGTGCTTTATCAACTACTTAGCACAATGGTTCAATGAAATAAATATCACCAGCCTCATTTTCGAGGTAAGAAATCTTGAGGAAAAAGGGGTGGGGAAGTAGACAAGTGTCAGAAAGATATAAAATGGCGCAATCAGAAGTCCTAAGGCTGTTGAAGAGCCCCACATTCTAGTCCTTGATCAGGAATAACTGGGTAACCTTGGCAACCCACCGCATGTCCCTAGATCATACACTACGTGTTTCAATAAGCGACTTGAACCAGAAAGCCCCTAAGGTGGCTTCCAGCCTTTAAAAAATAAATACATAAATAAATAAATCTAGAATTTCTATCCTAGGACTCAGTCTTATCAAACATACATCACAAGCCAGATCAGAATAAGAAAAAACCTAAAATAAGACCATTCCGGAGAAACTTTCCATCTAGTTTTACTCCTTTGCACAGAAAAGGAAAATGGTAATTATCCAATAAGGAAAAAAGAAATTCTGATTATTCAAATAAGATACCACAGGAAACTCCAATAAGCAGAGGATCTTCGCTCTGTGTCTCTTGCGATTGTTAAGAATAGTGATGTTCTCTACTCTCTGCAGTGCAGAGGCAGCTGCAGCAGGGCTTGTGCCCTTGGAAGGCAGGAAGGTGGCACCCTCCAGCGGCTGTCACTCTCCTTCTCCTTGGCCTTTGTATCCGCCCCCCTAAGGAACAAAGACACAGTCGTGGCCCTCACTTGCCTTCGCTTTTTCCCAGTTTTAGGTGATTCCTGCAGGTTGGGCTGAAAGAGGCGCCGGCACTGGGAGAAGCCTGTGTCAGGCACTGTTCCCCTTGTGTGACCCCAATGGGCCTCCCTGGTGCAGCATCCAACCCTCCCAATTGCCCCACTAGGGTAACCCACCCTCCCTGGCCTGCTGAGCCTCCCAAACAAACCTTTCTGCTTAGATAAAAGCAGACTGGACCAGGAAGAGCCAGGTTCCCACCCGAGTCCCACCCTGTAAGGCCGAGTGACTGCTACTAGCTGTTTAACTTCATGTGCCTCTCGCCAACTCTGTACAATACCATCTCAATGGAAAAGTAAGTAAAATGAAATGAAAAAAGTATATAATCCTTTTTAAATACACAAAAGCCCCTTGAAATTAAAAAACAAAGATACATCTCCAAGCAGATAAAAGAGTTAGATAAGAAGGCTAATTGCAGAAGACATAAAAATGGCCAAAACCATTCAAAGATGCTCATGAATAGAGCAAGGCATTGAAAATAACACAACTGTTAGATGCTATTTTTCATCCAACAGATTGGTAAAATTTGAAAGATTACATTAGCAAAGGTGGGAAAGATGAGTGTTCTCACACATGTTGTTTGGGAAAGTAAGTTGATAACGTCTTTCAGCCGGGGAATGTGGTAGTATCCAACAAAGCATCAAATGTGTGTGCCTTTTGACCTGGCAAAATCTCTTTCAGTACTCTCCTAGGGAAATACTACCACATACGCCGAAGAAATGCATATAAACATGTTCAATACAGCACTGTTAACTTAAATGTCCATTAATTGGGGGATGGTTAAATAAATCAGGGACCATCTTTACTATGGAATATTAAATTGCCATTAAAAAGAATTAAATAGCCCTATTTATTTGTTCCAACATGGACTCTATTACGAAATTATTAATAGAACAGCGCCTGACACACAGGAACCACTCAGTATTTGTTGAATAAATAAATACATCTATACCTTTCACAGCACTTTACATATTCTTGCTCATCTAATTCCTATGACAATCCTATCAGATGAGCCAAGCAGGTGTTATTGTTCGTAGTATAGGGAGGAAATTAACGCTCAAGGTGGTTACGATCTGCCCAAGATCCCAACGCTAAGGCACAGAGCCAAAACAGAACGAGATCCACTGGTCAGTGCTCTTGGTGGCTGACTCCCACCCTGCCTGCTACAAGGCTAACCTGCAAGCAAAGCCTGTAGGGAAGTACCAAGTGTCTGGTATCCGCTTGCTGCCTTGCACTGACTGAATCTCCCTTTCCCAGGAAGCCCTCCATTAGGTGAGGCTGGGCTCTCCAGACTGCAGCTCAGCCGTCAGGCCTCTAACAACAGGTCTGAAAGGAGGTCATTCAGCAACAGGTTGTCATGGAAACCCTAACCCCCTCCTTGCCCCTGGAACAAAATGGAGCTGGAAAGCAAAGAAGAACATTTTGTTGAGTGCCTACGATGAGCCAGCCACGATGAATAGGAAAAAATGCATCTGAGTCTTCCTTTACAAATCACCAAAAGAAAAAGAAACTGCGCATTGTTAAGCGAAGTACAGAACAGGCCTGCATCACCGCTTAATCTAGGTCAGTCATAACTGCAAAGGAAGTTTATTTCACGTGGAGCGTACTCCGTCCACACCCCTTAGAGCCGCGAGTGCCAGATGGCACAACTGGCATCCCCGTGTGGCCCCATCGAAGCACAGCCGTGCGTTAAACCTGCCTCCAACTCATATTGTACCTGTTTGTGTCTGGAATATACATTTCAGACACACCAGGAAAAAAAAATGACTGTCTGATTTATAAAACACTCTGTCTCCTGTAAGCGAGGGGACAGCCAATCTATTCAGAAATTTCAGATGTCGTGCTCACAGTAGAATAGAATCTTCTTTCACTTGTATCCATCCTATTCCTGCATTATCAGAAAACGGTGAAAACGGTGCTGTGTTTGGGCATTGTTACCTTGGAACTTTCATCTTAATTACAGAAGCTCTTAGCAACCGTTGCTTAGTAACAAACACATTTGAAAAAGATTTGTTGACTGATTATGAGATGCTCTGAAAAGACCTTAGAGTGAAATTCACTGATGGAAAAAGAGTTGCAGTGGCCTGGTAGAGTGAAAAAATGTATGCATTTTTTAACTACGAAAGTACCCACAAACTTATGGTACTACCAGATCCCAAACATATTACTGAATTTCTGCAGTAGATTAGTGATATTTTATGCTAGTTTGCATCTGATACAGTATTTTCAGAACCACTTCGGACACAGTTACCTGACTGAACGGCTACCAAAGCTCTGAGGGAAAAGCCCTGCAGTCTTATAAGGTCAACGCAGGATTCTACACAAAAAAGCCATGGCTTCTGTATTTCCACGGGTCCACAGATCCCTCCCAGCATAGTTTTGAATGTTTCTTTCTACTCCATATTTCATAAGTGTCAGAGGATTCTGGTGCATTTTCAAGCCAGAAAGAAAAACCCAAGGGAAGCTTTGCCTCAATCTTCCCAAGGATATTTCTTCTGCACTTGTTAATCCAATCTGTGATAAACGTGGAAATGGAGGTGCATTTTAGGACACCATCCTACACACATCTTCCCCAAACAAAACCCCAACCCCACGCACGCCCCTCCCTCCTCCTGCTTCCTGACCAGGTCTCGCCATCCACTCACCGTTTCTGCCTCAGAAACTGGGGATCCTCTCTGACAGAGGCAATCCCCCCCTTCCCCTGGAATCTTTCTGGTATTTTCCTCTGAGCCTGATTCTCTACTCGTCTCTCTTCTTGCTTTTTTTTTTTTTTTAAACCTTCTCAAATGAGGAGTCTCCATTCACTGGTTTTCCTCTCTCACTTCCCACTCAATCCCCAGCCCGCAGCAATCTGACTTTACCTCATGATTTCCTCTCCTGGGCACCATTTCTGTGGATTCTAGAAAGACTTAAACGAAGAGGAGTATAAGTCTCCCAATCTCTCTACACCCAGGCCCCATCTTCCCAGGGGGCCACTCAAATTTACCACAGTCCAAGCTTCCACCTGTCTGCTAAGAAGATGGTCCCTAAGCAGGGACCTGTCCAGAACATTCTATGTGGTTGCCCAGAACCAAACCCATTCCTCCAGGTCTACTTCACTCATCTACCTTGGCTGCCCCGCCCTGGAGGCATTTGAACTTGAGGCCACAGGCATGAATCTTTTCACTGGCTTTCCTGTAGCCACCCAAACTCACTCCTCCATGGAACAAGTATTCATGAACGTGCCAGGCATTGCTTTTAGGCAGTGATGATACTGTAATAAAAAAATAATAATGAAACTCTCTATTATTTCATGGAGTTCATAGGATAAAGAATTAATCAAATGAATACAAAATAAGTGCTAACAAGAGGAATTATACAAGGCTATAAGAGTTTACAGCAGCGAGAACTAGCCATATCAGGAAAGTATCCCCTAAAGCTGCGGTCCCCAACCCCGGGCCGAGGCCCAGTACGGGTCCATGGCCTGTTAGGAACCGGGACCACCTCCCCACCTGAGCTCCACCTCCCCACAACCCCGTCCATGGAAAAACTCTCTTCCATGAAACCCGTCCCTGGTGCCAAAAAGGTTAGGGACCGCTGCCCCAAAGGATGAAAAGGTATCAACTAGGCAAAGTTGCTGGTGGGTAGGGGGTTCCAGGAAGGGGAACAATATGTGCAAAGGTTCCAGCTCCTTCTCAAATTATTTACTCAACATACTCCTGTGATATTATGAGATATAGGATGGATAGATAGATAGATAGATTTTCATCCACGGTTCCTGGCTCATAACTCCCATAGCCCTTGTTATTTCCTAAGTGACTAAAACAATAAGCATATCTAAGCATATCTTTTGTTCAAGTATTATATTCGGCCTTCCATCTTTGGTTTCTGAAGCAGTTTCAGAACAGCTGCAGAGCGATAAAGGTGAGAGACAGCCTTTGCTATATTGTTGGGGTGCTTTAGACCCCAGGAAACAGCATCTCTCTCCCTGACCTTCTCCTGCCCTCCTTTCACTCACTCCTTTTTCTCTCCAAGACAGACCATAGAAACTAAAAATAGACTCTACTCTTCCCCCAGCTGTCAGGGAGCTGGCCACAAAGAAATTACCTAACCTACCTGGTCTGCTTACAGGTCATGAGACCCCTCTCATTTCAGGAGGGGTCCAACCCACACCCAGGAGGAAGGAACACAGCACAGAGAGGCCAAGAAGAATCTAGACAGGCAGGTCTTGCTGGGTTTTCCCCACTCACTCTGTTTGTATTAGACAAACCCTTTTTGGCCAATCACATTTCTACACGGTTGTCCATGCTTCAATCATGCCTATCCAATGAAGTCCTCAAAAAAGTCCAAGACAATGGGATACGGAGAGCTTCCAAATAGCTGAGGCTCATGGAGGAACCTGGAGGGTGGTGCCCCTGGGAAGGGCATGGAAGCTCTGCACCCCCTCCCCAATACCTTGCCCTATGCATCTCTTCATCTGTATCCTCTGTATTATAACATCCTTCATAATAAACTCTTAAATGTAAGTAAAGGTTTCCCTGAGTCCTGTGGGCCACTCTAGCAAAGTAACTGAACCCAAGGAGGGGGTCATGGGAACCTCAATTTATAGCCGGTTGGTCAGGAGCACAGGTAAAATTACCTGGGGCTTGCAATTGGTATCAGAAGTGGGGGTACAGTCCTGTGGGACGGAGCCCTCACCCTGTGGGACCTGACACCATTTCCAGGTAGGAAATGTCTGAATTGAATTAAAGGACACCCAGCTGGTGTCCCTGCAGAACTAATCACTTGCTTGGTATCTGTGGGGAAACCTCCATGCATCTAGTCACAGAAGTCTTCTGTGTTGACTGTTGGGGGTGAAAGCAGAGGAAAAACAGTTTGTGTTTTTTCCACTCAGAACTCCCCGCTTAGGGAGCTTCTCTACGAAGTTATGTTTCGTTTCCAGCATATCATTATTGATGTCTAAGCTAAATAAAAGCTCTCGTTGGAAAATCAGAGCAATAATTGTCTTTGAAAGATTTAGGCTAAAACGCAAAATAATGAAGCCTAGGTTTTAAATTACTTACAAAATAAAGAAATAAAATATTTACAAAAATGTTTTTCTACATTTCAGTACCCTCATTTATTTACAGCTTGCATCTTTTTTAAACTAAGGATTTATATCAGACTATTCTAAGCTTTCACTTCCCATCAACTTTCTGACAAATTCTGCACAGAACAGCTGCTACCATAAAATTTAATTTGCCACTTCCCAAAAAAGTCACTTCGGTGTAAAATAACGTTGCCTTCCTGCTAATATTTTACAACCAATTAAAACTAAAAAGATGGCTGACTGTACACCCAGTGAGACTCCATCCACAAACCTGCACAACTACACAGTGTGGGGAAAAATGTGAAGACATGTGTGCTGGAGAACATACAACGTATCTCCAAACATTCTCACTGCCAAGAAAAGAAACTAGTGGGGGATGTTTGGCAAATATTAAAATGAGATGTGAAAACTTCAGAATAATTATCTGTGTAAATCAGATTTCCACGTTTCAAAAGTTTTTCAACAACAGTCATTACATGCTCCTAATGAACCTCTGTAGTGACCACTCTGTGCACACCTTCTGCACAAAAGTCACACCCGAGGCCAACAGACTGGCAAACCCACCTTATGGCGTTTATTATTAGCCCACAAAGTGAAAACTTTCTTCAAATGTTTTCCTAGGTGTCCAAATTGTACGAGAAAATTAATAGGAAGTGGAGTTTCGCCAACTTCTTCGACGCTGACTCGCAGAACAAGGTTCTGTTGTCAAAACCCATTCACACCAAGGTGGTGCTCTACGTCCAAAGGAGGTGACAGGAATGTTTCCTCGGCCAAGCCAAGAAAAATTAATGACCCCACGCAGAAATACACGGTCTGTGGGGGCAATCCCTTGCACCCCGATCATCGCTGAAGAGCAGAGAAGGGAAGGATGGAACGAGGGAGGGCACGGAAAGAAACTGAGGTCGTCTTTTGGGAATTAAATAAGACTCAATCATTCTACAGGATTTTTCCAAGCTCCCTCTGAAGCGATCTAGGCCAAAATTACTTTCTGGAACAAGATATGTTTTTGCACATAAAACAACACACACCACATAATTCACGCTGCCTAAGCCAAAAGTAGTGACTTTGTCACTAATGATGATGGAAACCTCAGACTCTCATGTCCTAGCAACTTCCAGAGCACAAACTCCCTCAAGTACCAAGGCCTCCTTATAACTCTTGGTTCATTTTTATGACAAAATACACTCTTATTTACCCCCTGGGGGATATCATTACACCAAACACATGACTGTCCCTTCAGTGTGCACACATGTGTATGCGCAAAGCTGTGTTTTGGTCCACTAGTGCTTTATTTTCACAGAAGCCAGAGTGATCCTGCTAAAAACCTAAGTCACACATCACATTGCTCCTCTGCTCAACACCCCAACAGCTCCCCCTCACTCAGAGTGACCCCAACTCCACAATCCCTGTCACGGTTTACAGGCTTTGCCCAGCCCCAGCACCCCGGGCCCCCTTCCGCCCCTCCACGAGGGCCCACTTCACATGTATTTTCTCATGTTAACCCCTCAACAACTCTTGGTAGTAGGTGCTATTATTATCCTCATGTCACAGATAAGGAAACCGAGGCTGGAGACAAGTGACTTTCCACGTGAGTCCAGAGCTCACACGGAAATGTCTGACTTCAAAGTTTGGGCTCTTAAGGACGACACTATCCGGCAAGGTTACAAAGGCTAATGCATTATATTATAAACTAACTTCTTAAATTAAAAGTATATATGTAAGTCTTTACATCTTAAAATGCAGGACTGTGTTATATTTGTTAAATGGTGCCAAATGTAATTAGGCCACAGAAACAGAATAAGCAAAACAGAAA